CAAAACACAAACACACACAGAGAAAAACGGAGTGAATTGCCCAGTTTGCACGACTCCAGTTAGCTTGCCTTCCCTGCCAGCACTTCAGGTACATGTAAAACAGAGTGCAACCACTCATTCACTGAGTCGTTGCTGGTGGACGCAATAGAATGGCAATCACCGGAATGACAGCTCTCTTTTCTATGTGGATTTACAGGAAAGACAATAATTTATAGGTAGTAACAGTTTTTAAAAGATGCACTGCAATCTTTGGTGCGATTGTGTGACAGTGAGGGAAGTGCTTCGTAAAGTGCAGAGTGCAGTTAGTGGTGGTGGTCCCGAGACAAAGGTAAAGTTCAGTGTAATTCTCTAACAGCTGACGGTGGTGGTGGTGGAGACATATCAAAGTGATCATTGTTAAAGTGTAANCGTCCTTGTCCGCCTCCATGATCGTTCGGTCGGCAATGTTGGCCAGCTGCTCGGTTGAGATGTTCGAACCGACCATCATGTGCAAGACTGAGAGCAACTCATCGCGGCTGATCTTCTCGTCGCCGTCCAGGTCGTACATTTTAAAGGCAAAGCGAAGCTTATCCTCGCGCGAGTTCAGCTTTGACTCGCGGTTCTTCTTGGCCGGTCGGAAGCTGGCGAGAACTCGCATAAACTGGCGAAAGTTGATGCGCTCGTCAAAAGACTCGCTCTCGGTGAAGAAGGCCTGCACGATGCGGTCGCCGAGTGGGTTGATCGCCAGCTCGGGAATTCGCAGAAAGTCCTCCCGACCTAGGGTGCCATTGTCGCCCTTGTCCAGGCTGGTGAACCGACTGTACAGTCGTTCAATCTGCGAAGCGCTGACTGTTTACAAAAGAAAGGAAGAAAAGTTGTAAAATGTAAACACGACTTCGCCAACGCAAACACACTTACAGCCAGTCTCATTTTGGATGGCGCTAATTTCTTCATCCTGAAGCATCAGCGACGACTTGTTGCCCATAGTGATGAAGTCAAGAGCTGTTGAAAAGCCAAGTGCCAAGTGGTGATCGGTGAAAATGACGAGACGAGAGCTGGAGCTGATGGTGGTGATGGTGGTGATGGTGGCCTACCAGTCTCGGTGTTGTGGGCAAATAGAGAGAAGAGAGTAGCCAAGTGTGGCAGTACTCGACTCGATCGATCGGTACAGCTGGTGTCTACACTGATGCTGACTGCACACACACACACACACTCAAACACTTCTCTTGTACTCTCTTCAAGTAAGTTCGAATCCGTCAAGGCAATCAGGTGGAGTCGGCGACGACAGCAGTGCGGCAGAGCGTAGCGAGTACAGTGCGCATTTCTGTCGCTCTACAACAGCGGAAAAAGTGAAAACTGTCGCCGTACAAATGCGTGATTGAGGGGTGACCGCTTTCAGCGATGAGAGCTCGTAACGATGACCGCTTTGAATGGCCGCTTGGTAAAAGTCCAACTAAATCGAGGTGTGTCAAGGTGTACGTGTAGGTTTTCCGATAGTGCCCTTCACTGTGCCTAGTTATGTGGCACCAGCTTTTGACGTTTTGTTCAAGTTGTGGTAGGCTTTGAAAAGCTTTTTCCGAAGCCCGTGTCTTCACCTAGTGTTTGGCAATACAAGCTGAAAATAGTGTACGGCAGAAAATGAAGTATCAATCATGTCCGATTGGTAGCAGAAAAGTAAACGAAAGAGATAACGCGATAGACAATCAATTCACTCAAACAGCTAAAGTAGAAAGAAGAAAACTGGAAATCACAAACCCTCACCCTGTCGTGATCATCACCTCCGACACTTTCTCTAGTCAAAATGGCAGCAATGGAGGAGAATAATCCAAACCACAGGAAAGTGACCAGTTTAGAGATTAGAGAAAAAAAGATGAAAAACAGATGGACAAGCAAAAAAATCCGCAAAAACAAACTGTGACTTCCGTCCTCTACGATTGACCCGATTTTCCGGCAAAAATGCCGTTACGAAAATTCACATTTGTTTTTCTGCTGCAGCAGAAGCGCGTGAAAGCACATCGTCACCTCGAGAAAGTGAGACTGGCCGAAGACTGTCCTTATCAGCACTGTCATCACCAGCCGCCATCACTGGCTGATTCGAAGAGGCGATAAGAGCCGAGAGTAGAGTGAGTATAATCTCATCATTCCTTCTTTCTTTGAAGTAATATCTCTAGCCACACATTTCAAGTTTCCACCGTCTCAGTCAGCCCATTTATCGTACCAGAGCGTGTTTCCTTTCGAAACAGCA